CTGTGTTGTCTTGTGGGGCTGGAGGAGGGCGGGACAGCTTCCCTGGTGGGGTCTGGTCCGAGGAGGGTGGGGTGGGTGGTGTCGAAGGCAGAAGCTGCATGGCCTCACCTCTCGGATTATGTTCAAGGGTTCCTGGTGCCCTGCATGGAGCACATAATGACAGAAGATTGGCTGAATGAAGTGAAAGTTGGTGAGTCGTGCCCTGTGGGCTGGTGGGATTTCTGGGGGCAGTGAGACCATATGTGGATCATAGTGGATGACGGGAAGGGAAGGGGCATGGCTCAGGAGGAGATATTCAGTGCAGATCAGTCATGCAAGTCTTAATCTGGGGTGAGGATGGTGTGAGGTACCATGGGGTGAGCAAGGTGCAGAGCACGTAGCTCATCCTTGGAACCTCATAGTCCCATTAAAGAAACGGGGCTCAAAACTGAGGCCAGGCCAGGTGTGGTGGCACATGCCTGTAATCCCAGCACTCAGGAGGCTGAGGCAGGAAGCTTTCCATGAGTTAGAGGCCAGTCAAGGCTATATGGTGAATTCAAGGACACTCTGGACTGCTAGGGAGACCTGTCTTATAAAACCAAAAAACCAAACCCAAAAAACAAAAAACCTCAAGGCCAGAAGCCATGGAGTTCAGGGTGAACAGTTTAGAATTTTGTTTGGTTTCTTGTTGTTTCTTTGAGACAGGGTCTCACTTCGTAGTGCAGGTCGGCCTTGAATTCACTATGTAGCCCAGGCTGGCCTCTAACTTGCTACAATCCTCCTGCCTCAGTCTTCTAAGTGCTGGGAAAACAAGTGTTCACTACCATGCCTGGCAAGTAGTTTAGACATTTTTTGGGGGGGGGGGTCTTTTTTATTTTTTTCACTTTTCTTTTTTGGTACCAGGAATCAAACTCAGGGTCTCGAGGTTGCCAGGCAGGTGCTGTGCTGCTGAGCTACATCCCCTGCCGAAGTAGTTTAGACTTTTAAGAGGGCACAGTTTATTTTATAGTGGGGGAAGCAGAAGGGAGCGCAAAGTTAGGCTGAGGCAAGCCAGGAAAGCTTCCTAGAGGAAGTAAGTTTTCAACCAGAATTTGAAAGATGCAAACAAAGAGCTGGGAGGAAAGTGAGCTGAGGGGATACTGAGGGTGCCTAAGCCAAGGAATGGAAATATGAGCTTACTTCGTGGCCTCTATTCCCCACAACACAGCTCTGGAAGACCTGAGACATGACCCAGAGGGATCTGTGTGCATCTATGCGGCCCAGGCCCAGGACCACATCCTGGCCAGCGGTAGGCAGAACTCCTGGCCGCCGCTGCCATGTGGGGACTCACTGGTGAGTGGCCCGGCTGCCTCGCCTTGCTGCAGCTGCAGCTGTGAGAACCTGCCCACTTCCCACAAGCGGCCCTCCTGGATCATGCAGGCCCTGAGCTCCTGGAAAATGGGCTCGAAGCAGTGATGTTCCGGGCACCAGCACTCCTGGCTCACCATAAATGCTCTATGTGGGCATCCTGAGCTCTTCTTCACGGGACAGGCCTCGCTCTGAGCCGCCACGCTGTGTGTGATGGATCCAAGAGGGGAGTGTGGCCTTCCCTTGTTGACTACATTGGTGTTTACTGAGGTGCGCTGGCTGATTTGTGTACTTTGTTTAACGGGATGCTGAGGCTTAGAGAGGCGAGTGGCCTGCCCAAAGTCACACAGTAAGTCTGCTGGACATCTCAGTTTCCCTCTTTCCATATTGCAAGAGTGAAAGGAGGTGATGAATTGGATGGCCTTTGAGGAAAGAGGGAAAGCGGCGCCTCCTCCCACCCGATGACATCATGCATATCCCAGAATCCTGATGTCTGAGTTCTACCCATGAGCCTTTGCCCAGCAATTGGCCAATGCTGACTCCTGTGGTATTTGGTGAACTCCTAACCCAGCCAGGCCTGCTCTGGAGGCTAGGGGTACAGACCTGAACAGGATCCAACCACAGG